AAGCAAGGATCACTAGTAATACCCGAGACCCCAAGGCGTGGCCAGTGGCTTTCGCACCGCCCGTCCAGGTCCTGCGGTGTTAGCACCGTGCCAGCTGCACAGGAAATTGAAAGCCGTCTCGGGGGGGAAGCGTCCCTGGAGAAGCAGGCGAGAGGAATGCAGCCAGTGATAATGCTTCCCCCAGGCTGGGCAGAACCACATTGCCAATTACTGCTGAGCAAGGGGGAGGGGACGCAGCCCGGAGAGGGGAGCCTCCGCCTCCTCTGTGGCATCGCAGGCCCAAGGTGGAGCTGGCTCCCGAGGCGGGGGCTGGAGCACTGGACGGGCGTGCATGGCACATGAAATATGGTTTTAATTCCCCTTCCTAAGCTACCGTATCTGAGCAGGGGCTTACTGAAGGCGGGAGGCGCTCCGAGCTCCCCTAACGCATCAGCAATAATTGCATGGCTGTTTGCCTTCCCACGCAGAGGAGACTGGGGACAAGTGGCAGCTCAAATCCCCGACAAGAGAGAGCCGGGGGTGGAAAGCCCAAGGGACCTTTCAGGAGAGCGGCCCCGCAGCTTGGCCTGGGATCAGTCTCCAAGGGGCAGCCGCATTGCCCTGCCGATACCCGTCAAGCCGAGCCTGCAGCACCCCTGCTATTCCAGCTCCGGCAATAGACAGAGCTCTCCCCAGAGACGGACCTGCTGGGAGCCTCTCTGGAGCAGTCCCTGCACATCAGCCATGTGGGCGGGGCTCTGACGGGAAGGAAGGGCCAGACCCCCAACCCCAGCTGAGCCCCAGTTCAGGCTTTGAGGGTAGAAGGCAACTCCTCTCCCACTTGGCGCTAGCCAGGATACTGGGACACGCTACCTTAGCCCAGTGGCCAGCAACCTCTCCCGTCCCGGGCAGCCAGCTGGCCCCAGGAAGCCCCCCTCTCGTTAATCCTTCCTGTCTGGGGTCTCAAGCATTCACAAACTGAAGGTGTTTGGTGCTTAGAGGGGTCGGGGCCTGGGAGCCAAGACTCCAGGGTTCAAGTACCAGCTGTGCTGCCGACTCGACCCTGGCAAAGTCTCCACCCCTCTCCGGGCCTCAGTTTCCCCTCTGCACATGGGAAGGATATCCACTTCAGAGGGGCTGTGAAGGGTAACGGGCTTGGAGACTGGGGGCTGCCGAGGGGCTAGGGAAGAGCCGGGGGTTTTCTGTAATCCGCAGGCAGAGATCAGACTGACGATGCGGGTCTCAGCAGCGAAAGGGGGGAATTCAGGGAGGGAGGGACAGGATCTGTCCTCCCATCTCCCTCCCTAGACACGGCAGCACACAATACGCAGCCTCACTCACTGCCCACGAGGGCCAGGGCTCGCCCTTGCTCGGACCCCGCCTGGCCTTGCAAAGCCTGCGACTGGAACTTTTAACACGTGAAGAGCAGGATTTGTCAGGACCACCTTAAAGACGTGAGAAGGCGGCAGCTCCTGCGTTGATCAAATCCGGATTGATTAGAGCCAAGCCGCAGGGGAGCGATCACTGGGAGCGGAGCCGCCGTGCGCTGGAGAAATTAAGTGTTCCATCTGCCGCCAGCGTTCCTCACACTCTGATTAACGAACGAGAGGAGCGGTGCTCCCGGTGGCTCCACGGAGCGGGTACTGCGGCACAGCTCGGGGACCCGCAGCCTGGGGCAGGGGAGGCTGGGGATAAGGAGTGTCCCCCCGGGGGGGCACAACTCTCCGGCGCTTCTCCTAAGGGTCATTCCGACGCGAAAGGAAAGGGGCGCGCTCGCTGCGATTCCCTGCCCATGGCTGCTGCCAACCGGCGTCGACCCAGCCAGGAATTCCCGGAGCAGAACACGGGCAACCCCACGGGCAGGACTCAACGCAAGCAGCCCCGTGAGCCCTCCGCACAGGCCCTGATCCTGCAGCAAACTGCACGTGGGCCGGGCCCCCTGGTGTCCCCTGCCTGCTGCCCCTGGGGCCACGTAATGCCTGGCCCTGCCCAGCATTAGCCAAGAAAGGCTGCTGCCTGCTCTCCTTTGGGAACCCCTGCCCTCTGCAGTTCAAGTACCCCCCCCCCGGCACGGCACGCGCCTACCACCCCTCCCGCACTGCATACGTACTTCTCTCTCCTCAGCTGGAGCAACAAACAGGACAGCGCCTCTGGGTGCTCTGCAAAGGAAACCAAAGGCGCTTAGTTTATTCCTGACAGCTGGGGCCCACAGTCAATGCTGAGGGGCTGGCTGTAGGTATCAGGAACGAATGCCCAGTATCTGAGCAGACATGTCACCCGCCCCCGGGGCCCCTCATGGGGTCCGCCCGCACAGCCTGTTCCACGCTCCCTGCCCCCACCACGAACACACTGCTCCTGCCGGGGGCGGCAGACGACGCCGGGCGTGTGAGTCTTGTGCAGAACTCCTGGGGGCTGCACGCTTCCTTCCCTGCATACGCACGCACAGTGCCGGGCAGGGGAACAGGCCGGCTGGACCCAGCTGGGATTGGACCCCCCCGGGATTGTGGCATGAGAGTGTCTGACACACGCAGGGCGCAGGCTGGATGGACCCAGCTGGGATCAGACCCCCGGGATTGTGGCGTGTGTGTGTGTGTGTCTGACACACGCAGGGCGCAGGCCGTGTGGACCCAGGTCGGATCTGGCCCCCGCC